TGTATGCGTGTATGTAACTTGTATGTATGTATGTATGTATGTATGTACGTATGCATGTATGTATGTATGTATGTATGTATGTATGTATGTATGTATGGTGTGTGTGTGTGTGCATATAAACCTTACATGATATGCCTGTGTGCGCGAACTATTGTGCACTGATATACAAGTTTCGAGAGCGGCAGATGAAGGAGCGAGCTTTAGGTTTGCTATCTCTTGTTCAGCAAAGCGGCAGGCTCATGCAAGGACCAAAGCCATGGTCCATCAGAAGGCTTTACAGGCAGCGTGGCTTCAGCCACTACCTGTCCGTCGGGTCTTGGGAATCTCATGGCTTCCCTTCAACCAGACGTGCGCGGCAGAGCATTGCCTCCAGAAACTTCTGCAGTTGTCCGACTGGGCTTTTGGTCTCGACCTGCCGCGACATCACGCTGTTGCGCCATCTATATTCTCTCGCAAACATGGGATGCGGCACCGGCTCTACCCTGAGGATGTACAGCATTCTGGGGCTCTCCCAAAAGCTCGTCTCGGCCGAGATCACGATCTCAATGCCTGGAGCAACGAAGCAACGTGCAGCTTCCTCTCTTGCGTAGGTCTCGGGCACACTGCCAGGAGGAGAGATTCGGATTATCAGTCAGCAGCTCAATCGTCTACCACCCATGGCCCGCTCATGCTATACTCAAACCCTGCAACAATGCCACAGAACCAACCCTGCACCTGGATCTAGATTTACGCAGCTGTGCTCTTGCGCCGCACATTCGCTCGCCTGCTTGCTTGATGTCGCGTAATGCCTCTTGTGCATCATCGTTGAGGGGCATTGGCAGCATCAGAGCGACCGCAGGAACTTTGACCAAGGTCTGCATGGCGCGGATGCAGTCTTCGTGTACATCCTCGAGCAGACCACTCGGAAAAGCAACGAAGCTGCGAGAGCCGCAGGTCTAAGGAGGCAGTGCAATGTGCTGCAGTCCTGATCTTTCAGATGGCGATGGAAGAAGTGTCCCAAATCAGCAATCCTTCTGGGAACGGAGCTGCAGTCCCATGCGAAGTGCTCCTTGGATTCTCATGGCCAGGGCCAAAGCTCCCTTTTGACACTTCGGTTTTTTCTTCGCCAAGAGACGTGCTCACCCTCGCGGAAGTACTGTGGGGTAGCTGTTTTGGCCACGGCGACCACGGCCATCGCGACGGCACCGCTTTGTGCTTAAAGGCTTGTGGAGCACGATTGCAAAGCTTTTAGAACACCCAAGTGGGAACAGAGCTCTGCACGCACAACGATTGGCTGTTGCACATCATGTTTGGGCCGAGGAAGTCTACCAGGGCAGCTATTCTCCGCAAGTCTTCGGCTGGCATGGACGAGGCTGTGGTTTGCCCCGTCAACTTGCTTCACATTCATGATCGGCCCGGAGTGCCCTGGAGCTCTTTTTTAGACACCTGGCACCGTGCAGAGCTCTCACCCCGAAAGTTGCATGGAACGCCAGGAGTTTGGCGAGTAAGAATTGAAACCGAATAAGGGTACCCACGACGACAGAGCCGATGCTCGCTACAAACGATATTCCGAGAAAGCTGTTGCAACCTCCAAGTATCTGTGGGCCCCATGTGCCACACATCCATTGCGGAAGGTTCGGAAACATCAGCGACAACTATCCGACACGCACTCGAGCCAGGCACTTCTTCTGCACGGCATCCGGGAGATGCAAAGAGTAGTGTGTCGCTGCACGTCTACAACTTAAAGTTCCTTGAGTGCCATCTCAAGCAGTGTGATGCAGTCATTAGCACTATCCGACCACGCCGAAGAGGGCGTGGGGTATTTCTCAGGCCCAAGAGCACAGGAAACCACAAGTGTGGTCACGGCAGAGCTCCCGAAAAGGCCCGAGAAAAGGATGCTAGCATAAACTCCGCAGTGTCATCAGGTCTCGACCGTCAGCGATGCAGCCTGTCACTCCAGTTTTTTTTTCGGATCGCAAGCCCCGACAGAGTCATCATCCAAAGTGGCTGGCAGCCTCCAGGTGTTGAACAAGGGCTTCCAGTTCCTCGGCATCCAAGCACAACTTTTACCTTGAGTTGCTGAATACATGACAGCGGAAAGTGACACTGTGGAGCCCTCGGCTGATCTTCCTTCGTAGAGCTGCGGCTACCCTGCTACACAACAGCCAGCTACAGTGCAGGTGAGAATAGTCGGACGTCAGCAATTGGAGGGAACGGGGGCGAAGGGTGTTGCAGCCGTCTCCACATGCTCCGGAGGAAACAACGAGGCAGCCCAGCTGCGGCACCGTCTCGGCCGGGGTTGTAGCGCACCATGACCTTCGCACGGCCTGTGCACAAGGCCGGGAGCGAGCAAAGGTCCCTCACAGGTTCACTTCCGTGCCTTTACACAGATTGCGAACAGGATCCGTGTCGGCCTGTGGGCCAAGCAAGCTGGAATTCAGCGGTACGAGTATCTCGTGCAAACGATCGGGCAACTCTGCAAGCTGAAGCTTCTGGGCAACTGCTCTGTTACGGAGGGGGGACCGACCTTGCACTTGACGATCTGAAGCTCAAAGCCGGAGCAGAGCTTCTTCAGCTTCTCCTGTGCTGGCTCATCAACCGCTTGGGGTGCTGCGCACCTTGATGTGAACCCCTCCTTCTCGGCATGGCAACTTGCACCGCTGTCCCTGCACTCTTGTTTCGTTCGACTGCAGAGTCTGGCTCTTGAGCTCCAGTCTCACCAGACGTGCCACCGGCAGGCACGACTGCTCCCGCAGACATGCACTGCTGGCAAGCATTAATTAGATTAACACTTGCCCCTCGACAGGACAACCCCTGATTGCTCTGAGTCGTGATGACTCCATCATTTGAGGCTGTCTGTCGGTCGCAGCTGCATTGTCTTTGACAAAGCAGCTGACGCCACGAAGGCCCTCTCTGTAGTTGCGGAAACCGGATCTGCAGCGAGAGGCTCTCATCGATACCATACCGGATACGTATGGAAAGGATGTGTCGGTCAGATGTGTCCTGTGATGGCCTGTCAGGCTCTAGGGGCGCAAGTGAAACGCACTGCTCAGCAATCAGCGTCGATCGATTTCGGGTGTGCCTGCGGGTTAACATGTGCGAGCACGAAGTCAGATGCTGCCACAGACTGCCCCTAACATCTGCCGATGACTCTGCCAGCCTGGTACCACTCTCAACATCAATACACATCCATTCAGTTCATAGCGATGGTTAGAACCCGACCTCCTTCGATCCCTGGAGCAGCTCGAGCAGCACTTTGAAGCGTAGTGTACAGGAGGCAGCCTGTCCAGGCTCGGCAAGCAGTTGTTCCTCTTGGGCTCCAGGCTCACTTGCGCAGCACGCTGACCCAAAGGCAACGCAACCGGTGTACAGTGTCAGAGGGTCGCGCTGAGTACTGCGAAGCATCTGATGAGTGATCGCCCGACAAGAGTGCGTAAGAACGACTGCTCCCGTCTGTGGCATATTTTGTCTCATTCTTCGATGCCCAGCTCGTCCAGCACCATCGGCTGAGGGGCCGGAGCCTTGGGGTGAACTTCAGCCTCTTGTACGTGCCCGCTGGTGTCTGACATGCCACCGACAAAAACTGCCGATGCTGTTGTAGGAAGTCTGCACCTCCGGGAAAGACAAACTTAAACGCCAGACACAGTTGCCGGCGGCGTCTGCAGCTGTGGAAGAGGTGCAATGTCGCGCAGCTTAAACCAAGTTACCTCAGCACGCAGCTCCGCACGAGCATGTCTGGAGGACTCTCAAGAATCCTTGCTGTCGCGAGGCAGACATGGACTGTACTTCTCCAGGGGGTAGGAAGACTTCGATCAAGAAGCGATCCCTCGGACCACGCTGCGACTAGGCTGCATGGAACTTTATTATGGACAAGCCTGCTTCGCAGGGGAGCCGGGCAAGCTCAGCTTGGTCTGTCCCTCGTGCTCACCATCAAAGGTTCTGAGGGGCCTGCCTCTGCGCGCCCTGCCCAAGTCGGGACTGCAGATTTGGGTGAAGGCTACGCTGCCTAGGTGCCTCCTTGGACACACTCCAGAATCCGATCACAGCCCACCCCCAAGAACTCCGAACCTGGATCATCCACGCCAGCTCTCGGCCAGCGTCGTGACGCGGGCCGCGAACGGGCGCCACACGCGAGGTGCAGTGAGGCTCGGCGGGATGCAACACCTTCGCCCCATGAAGGAGCGTGAGCACGAAAATGAACCGTGAGATGTCAGAGATTTTTCAGCGCTCAGCTCTCTCTTTAAATGGTCCATCCCAGCCCCATCGCCCGCTCTTGGAACGCCTGGGACGTGAGCCCATCCACCAAGACCTGGGCAGAGCGGGCAGGGCACGGGAGCAGTGGCGCATCTCGGACGCAAGCAGCAACGCTCCAACGAGTCCTCACGACAGGAATCGGGACCCCCAAACACCAACAGCACTTTCGATATCATTCACTCGCTTGCCAAAACAATCATCGGACAAAGAACCGACAAACAAGAGGAGAGATCGGGGAACAACATGCTACAAATCAAACAACGAGAGCACGAAACAGCAGGTCTCTACTTGCTTGAGTTGCTTGGTTATTGCCGCAATGCCGGATTGCGGGCTATAGTCGGCTAGAGTGTGCAGAATCCGGCCTTTTGATTTCATTTGGGGGTTTCCGAAAATAGGGGACCCTGATATAGTACCCTAAATAATAGGATCCTTATTATAAGGGCCCCAAAATAAGGTACCCAAATTTTCGGAAAGTCCCATTTCGGTTCCTTGCCCTTTCGCTTCTGGCCGAGACCCAGACCTGGAAGCTCTCGCTGCCGGAAGCTCCCAGGCTCAGCTCGAACTCGTACAAGCCCACACGCGTCTCCCTCAAAAGGAGACACTTAGGGGAGCTTCCGAAGATAAGGGGTACTGTATAGTGGGGTCCTTTTAATAAGGATCCTACTATTTAGGGTACCATCTCCGGGTTCCCTATTTCCGGAAACCTCCACTTCGACAGAAGCGCTTGGCGCAGACCTCACCTGAAACCCCGCGTCGCCCGACCGCCGAGCCTGGCCACCATGCTCTCTGCCGTCCAACCTCCGCTTCTGGGGCTGAAGTCATGTACTCGACTGCACTGTGCTTGCGGTCAAGCAGCCGTTGAAGGACCCTTGGATGGACAAGCTCTTCACAGATCTGGGCTTCGATGAGGGCACTGCAGACCAGAAGGTTCCTCGGATCGGACACCGGTGCAAAACCTGAAAGCCTCGAGCGAGACACGTCTGGCTCCAAGCTTCGGCCACCCTCCATGACGTCAACCTGCATCAGAGGGTCGGGCGGGCGGTGGACACAGAATGCAGTGCCTAAGCTGTCCTGTATCTAACACAGTACAGGCCCAAACCTCTTGGGGTTTCGCGTCCCCATGAAGCTCTGCTACACACCAGAGCTCTGTTCGGCAGGGTCTTGCCAGCTGTTTAGTTTGACATCCCCACGATCCTGGAAGGACTGCCCAGGCTTCATCGAGAGATGCGGCACCCCGTTGCTCTGCCAGTCTTCGAAATTGTCGCCGACCTGGGCACACTCCGAGATTTCTCAGAACCTTCCCTTCAGGCAACTGTTCTTGAGACTTTTGAGATGCCAACGTGTCTGACGGCAGGGGCCGGGGGTGTTGGGTTCCACGCGTATGACCATCCGCGAGTGCAGACGACTAGTTGCCTATGGCATCTGCCCAAGCCCACAAAAGAAGTCGGGCGTCAGCCCCAAATACTCCCCCGCATCTCTTCGCATCTCTGCCGAAGCGCCATCGCGATCTCCGGAGGGGCACTGCGCACCTGGCGGATGAGGGCGTCTTCCTGGGCGGACGGCAGAGGCTTCCGGACTGCGTCCTGCCATGCAAACCTCATGCAATACCAGCCAGGAGTTCACCTGATGCGTGAACCTTTTCTTTCCAGGTGACGTACAAATAAAGCAACAGCTGCTTCGATTTCCTCAAGACTGATCAAGACTGTGTTGAGGCGAGGAGGCTCCGAGACCGTCGGTGCATCAGAACGCGCTGTGCACGAGAGGGTGTCTTCTTGCCAAGAAAGCCCTGGACCTTTCCTGTTTCGACAGTGGACGCTAAGAACCACAGCTTCTGCAAATCCACATCTGAACAGGATACGAAACACTGTCCGTGCTCATTGGAAATTCTGAAGTCATCTATCCGATAGACTCGACAGCTCATGCCCCCTGAGATGCCCTTGTAGGCTAGAGCTGATGCGCCTTACTGCAATAAGCAGTATCGTTGCCAGACTGCTTGTGCTTTACACCGAGTAGAAAGCAGTCCGGGTGCCCTGCCGAGTTCTTTGCCCTGCCACCACGGGAGGTGACTACCTTACTAGCTCAACTTGGGGTGCTGTGTTCGGAGCCTCCTAGCTGAAGGCATAAGCACTCAAACAAGCGCCACCAACTTGATGATCGGTCAGAATCGCTTCGTGCGTTCTTGCGGCATTCTTTCCGAAGGCCATCGCATGGCTGTTGGTGCCACCTGGCCAGCGCTTCCCAACGTGCACCCTGATCGAATGGCCTTGACCTATTCGCGCTTATCATCCTGGCATCTCTGCACAAAGACACGCAGGCGGGGCCGTACCCGAAGCCGCTGACGCCCACCTGAAACCCCAGGACCGCGAGGGCGGCGAGATGCGGCGAGGACGACGGGAGTTGCGCAGAAGCTCCGAGAATGCCCGAGGCCCGGACATAGGAGGCCTCGCCCTTCAGGGCTTGGCCCTCTTGCAGAAGAAGCGCGGGCCAGCCTTCGATATGGCGTTTTTTTTAAGCGCTGCGCGCTGGAGGAACGGCGTCGGCACCGAGCACCGGCCTTCGGTGTCCATGTTGGGATTCTGCACGCGGAGGTGCTGGTTGGGCGCGACTTCCGCGTGCATGCAGGCAAGGACACACCTCGGAAGGCCACCCAAAACCCGCGTCCGGCCGTAGCCTTTCGGGTTTCCTCCGTGCACCCATGACTCAAAACCGGCACGAAGTCTGAATTGAACTCTTACTCTTCGATCTCCCTGCGCGGCGTGGTGGATCCCACACCGCTCTTTGTGAAGCCCAGCAGCTTGCAGAAGGCGGACATCCCTGCACCGCCCTCCAAATGTCCCAGGTTCGTCTTCGAGCAGGAGATCATCACCTGAGTCCCGCAACTTTGGCACACTGCCAAGGTTACTCGCAAGGTCTGCCTCCCTCCTAAGCCGAGGACAGGATTCTCCCTCTGCGTCAGAACCTGCCAGGCTGGGGCTTGGCAGATTGGCTGCAGACCCGATCCCATCACGAGCCGGCCAGTGGGCCAGTCTCCTCATCCGAGCTCGTATGATGCTAGGCTGCTAGGCTACCTGGAATTGAGAGCTTTGGCTAAGGCCCCCCCGCCTTGCGGACAGCGCTCACCTGCGCAGCATGAGCAGGTACCATGGTCTGCTCAGCTTGAGATGGCAAAGGCCCCACCTCGATAGGGTCTCCGAGAGAAGTCCCCGTACCATGAGCTTCGTAGATGTCCAGATCTGTCGGTTGAAGACGCGCCTGGCCCGACAAACTCTGCTCACATGCCACGGGTTCATTACCTTTGAAAGGATGGACGCAAGCGTGAACTGATAAAGCAAAAACATCCCCTTCGGCCAGCACACTGTGGAACGACACTGACATGAAGCCATGAAGCTTGTCAGTGGCCTCACTAAGAGCTGCTCGCAGCAGGCGCCTCAGACGAGATGAGGATACAAGCCGCGGCGGAACATGTCAGAGGGACCCGGGTGCTCTCGTCTCATCCCGTCTCACATTCTGCTCGGGCACTGCTGTGCCGGGCCGTTCGGGGCCGTGAGGCTGGCGGAGCGGCCATCCGAGTTGCTGTGGCCTAAAGAGCGAGGGCTCAAACGCTAAATCGCGAACTCCAGGTTTTGGCACCAGGCTTGGAGAGTTTTTATAAAAAGCCTGTTTGCAAGACGATGTTCGCTTTTTTAACCGCCGAGCCCCAACGAATCGAAGCGCCTGTTTCTCGTCTAAGCTCTAGGTCAGCTTACTGCTGTCCTCGGTTTGCCACTTATGCTGTTGCCAGGCAAGATTCTGGCGGCCAACGTTCCACAAGTTGTATCGTCATCTTGGTCGTACCTTAGCCGTGAGTCGCTGTGGGTGGGAGTGAACCAATTCCGTTATCAGCGCTGGCCAACCATTCTCTCGCACGATCGGCATGCTGAAGGCAAGGATTCTACGCCCCTCTCATACCCGTTCTTTGATGTGCTGTTGCGGGACTCGCCACGGCCCAGCACTGCAGCGGCACAGCCTTCGCCACGCCCATAGCCGTCCTGTCTCCCAGGCTCACACATCAGGCACGCGAGCCTTCAGGAACGTTGAACCCCGTCCGCTGTGTTGTTGAAGGAGAAGCACCGACCACGGAAGGAAAGCATGGCACCTGGCAGCACTCGACAAAAAGCCCTGTTTCTTCTTTTTAGACGATGCTTCACACGTATGGACCGTGGATGAACCTGCCTGCGCAGTTCCCAGCCCAAGTCCCTGGAGAGACATTGAGGCCTGAAGAGGTCGCAAGATCTTGCTAGCATCTCGCCCTGCGCTGCCTTCAGCCAGGCCACTTATGCCAGCGATGAGGCAGGCATCCAACGGGTCCTGAGTCAGGCAACAAGCGGGTGGTGCTACGGCGACACTCGTCTCGCTCCTGGGGCATCAGGAGGTGCGTCTTGGCCGAATGCAGAGCCACCAGGGAGGCTGAACCTGCTCTCGGAGAGCCAAAGCGGCGACCAGAAAGCACTGAAGCGGCGCGTCGGTGGAAAATAAGCGGCATTGCCGCCGAGAGGCAGGCCGTATTCACAATGAAGCTGGGGCCCTTCAGGTTGATGGCGTACGAGAAGCGGTTCCTTACCAGTTTCCAGAGGAGTTGCTTCGTGCTCGGAGCGGCTCCGCTCCGCTGAACCGAAGCCAAGTCTCGCAATGAAGGTCTCTGGAACTCCGTTTGCCGAAGGCGCTTTGCAAACATCCCGCCAGTCCTGAGTCTCTGGGTGGATCACACTGCGGCAGACAACATCGGGTCATCGATTCGACTCCCTTTCTTTCTTTGGCGTTGCCAGGCTTCGGAGCCACTGATGCCAACGAAGACCCCGATGTGAGCAGACTCGATTCGAACCTTCTCGCGCTCGTAGCCAGCGTCGCTCATGGCCAGCCAACCTGCAAGCAACTGGCCAACGAACAATGCGGAGCTGGTCGCTGCAGGCAGCAACCCTCCTCCTGTCAAAACGAAGAACAGCAACTTTCCGTCAGCCTGTTTCCATGAAGATCCGCTGCTCCGGATCCATCCCTCTCACCTCCTGGAAACGAGCCGGATGAAGACGACATCGTGCATCGAAGTCTGCGAGAACATCCGTGGTCATGCCATGCACAGGAAAACGAGGAAAGCTGCTGAAGCCAACCCTCCCTGTCCTGGTCTGGTATGTTGAAGAATGCGGCATCGAAAATCTCAATGCCTCTGCAAGAAAACCATGCGAAGAAGCCCGGAAGAAGCGCCATTCAACTTGACAAGCCTCGCCGCGCCTTCGATGTGGCCTTGATGGCGGCAGTAGCTCTTGAAGGATGCCATGGCTCTCTGCTGGTCCTGCAGAATGACAGCCACGGACCGGTGCAGATGCGAAGCCTGCGAAGGCTAAGCCTGCCTCGTAGTCAATGTACTGGTCAATGTCAAACCTGACAAAAAGGCCCAAGCTGGAAAAGGTTTCATCTACACGGGTCTGCAGACCCCATCCCGGTCTCCTGGTCTTTGGGATTTCCAGGAAGCCGTCGCAGCCACCATGCCGCAAGGCTGTCCACAGCTTCTCATGCATGTCCGCCTGCCCCAGCTCAACGTCATCAACTTCAGCCGTGACTCCCGCAGACCGCAGAGAGCCGGCCTCGCAAGGATCCCTGGAAGACATACCTCAGCGACGGCCGGCTTCTCAGTGCACTCCAAGACGGCTCCAAGTCGGGCCGGGCCGCCCTTCACAAGGACCTGCGACTGCGAAGCTCGCCGGGAGCGACGCGCGGCGCGGCGAGCAGGCTGCATCTCGGCCTGGAACACTCGGCCCTCTCTAGGTCCACGCAGCAGTCGCGGGCAGGCGCCTTCTGGAAGACCATCTGGAGGGGCCTCCCATGATGATAGTCGTCAAGAGAAGGCATCTCACTGTTGAGCCTTGAAGGCTTCAGTTGATGCTGAGGGAGGAACTCTTCCAGAAGGAAATTCTGCAAGACCAAGCACTCGCCATCGGGCTCGAACTGGAAGTCGTACCTTATGTGGTCAACCGTGGGGGGTCTCGTGCGGCGAACTCAAGGTCGAGCGGCAGTTGGGTGAGGAAGAGCACTTGCAGGTCCAGGCAGGCCACCATACTCACCTGCACGCCATGCGCAGCGATATGCGCAGCGATATGCGTTGTGATATGCGGTGCGTAAGAGGAGCAGCAATCTGAAGTCAGCCATCTCAGGCCTCGGGATAGTCTGCCTCCCGCGGGATCAGCCGGATCTTTCCGGTGCTAGGCCCCAGGAACCTATCGCAGACAAAGCACAAAAACACGGCACCCTCAGTAGGCATGTCTCAAGCAGAGGTGCCGAAGCAGACAGAGCCGCCGCCGGCCCATCAGTGCCAGGAATGCCTCCTTGGTGAGACCAGCGAGATAGGAAGCCGACGCTGACGCGTGTCGCCAGGGCCCGGCACGGGCTGTGGCTGCGTGTCACGGCGCCTGCTTTGTGCCTCCTGGGCACCGCCTCGCTGGGCGCCGGTGCTCGCGGCGCCTCGGCGGCCGGCGCCGCACCGGACAGGCGCAGGAGGAGGTTCGTGCCTCGAAAGCCCCTGCTTTGTGATGTTTGCTGTCACTGCAATTCACTGCACTCCAGTCCGCACAAAGATACACAAAGCAGGGAAACTGTTCCAAGACCAAGGGTCGGCTCGAGACCTGGATGCCCAAGGGCTCCTGCAGTCGGTGCTTCAGCAGGCGCAGGTGCTCGCTGACCTCAGAGCATTCAGACAGTCAGCCATGGCTCCTCCCAGAACCTCCCTTGGCCTCGGACGCTGTGCTCTTGTGCTAGGAGCCCAGAGGACTCTGCCAGAGACCCGGCCTCCAAGCCCTGCGAAGCCGGAAAAACTCACAGAGCGGCGATTGAATCTCGAGAGAAAGTTGGCTTCTCTGGAGCTCTCGGCCTCGAGCATGGCCACCTTGTCGGACCTTGCGGGTCCACGGCCCAGGTAGCCCAGCTCGAACCTGGAAGCCAAACTCTGTGATCTCTCTGACTGTCTGGGCCACCCTCCTTTGGCTTGGAATCTCGAGACTTATGCCAAGCAGGGCCCTTCAGATCAAACGCATTCTTGGGATCCTGTGTCCCTCTGACTTCTGCTTTGGACGAAGCTGGTCGGAAACGTCAGCCGGGCAGCTCGATAGGAAGCCGGTAGAAGCAGTCCTTCTTGCACAGGGTGACCACGGCAAGCAAGGAAACCCTTCTGAGACGTATGTAAGGACATTAAGGACTTGAAGACCGCTCTCTGAGGCTTTCTGAAGAACTCTGGTGATTGCTGCTGTTGAATGACTGAGCCCCCAAGGATCCTCGAGCTGCTTCACCGCGGAGAGGATGCCTGCACGGCCCCTCGCCGGCAGGATCACATGAGTAGTGACCTGTGGCAAGGCATCGGTGAAGAGAGCACTTGCACTTCAAAATCCGGCAACTGAGCGCTCCACGAACCCGCGTTCGAGGAGCAGGGAAGGCATCTGCTGCGCGAGGCCCTGCGCAGATGCGGAGACATGGAGACGCGGGAGATGCCTCTGGTTTCATCCGCCTCGGGATCCGAGCTTGGCCCCAGGACCAAGTCGTAGCCCTCCAGCGCATCCGAAGGCAGCCACCTCTAAAGAGTCTCAAGGAAGGCTTCTCTTTCCACCGCGTTTGAGGGCTTTGAGCGCGAGAGAGGAACCCGGACAGACATTCAAACAGCAAAACGGCCTACAAGCGGAGGCGGGCACTTGCAGGAAGTAGCCCGTGAAGGTCACTACCTCGCAAGGCCCGAAGCAGCTTTGATGTTTGGAACCAACACTGTCTGATGACTAGCAGGCCCACAGATCTCATGAGTGCTGATGTTTCATAGAAGTAGCCTGAGCATCGGACTAAGAGACCAAGCTCACCACCATTCTCCACCAGCTGGGCCTGAGCATGCCAAAAGCCCTGCCCACCTGGCCTAGTCATCCCACGTGAAATCGCGGATTGCAGTGGAAAACTCATGCACTTACGGTCTTCTCCACAAGCAAAAGGCCTTTCACAGCACCGTTCGCATGGAGGCTCTTCTGCTTCAAGCAGAGGCCGGACAAATTAGTGGGCGGGCCTTTGATGCTATTCACTGCACACAAGCACAAGGATTTCGCCATTTAAAACTCATCTGCATGCCTCAGATTTCACCGGGCACAACCTGGGATCCTTCCTGAGATCCTGCAGCACTCCGGGCGAGCCGTGCGATTCAGGCTGCCTTTAAATCTCCGGCACGTGCCATACTCGCCGCGTCTCTTGTTCGAGCATTCCGATCTTCAGCCGTCAAGTACGGATTCTGCCATCTGCAGAGATATCCGTAGACGGCTGACAGCCGAAGCACAGCACCACCCGCTGCAATGCTGAAGCACACACCCAAACCAACTCCATAGACTGTGTAGACCCAAAGCACCGTGGCGCAAAGCGAGTTGTACACTCCTGCAAGCATGAGCACCATTGGCTCACCAAAGAAGACGAAGTTGTCTTTCACAAACTTCAAAGAAGCCATGTCGTCCAGCGGCTCCAAGTAGAGTGTGATGAAGGCACAGGTCATGACTGCAACAATCAGCTGCCCGACTGCTATAGCGAGAAATCCCTCGTACCATTGGCAAATCAACGAAAAACGATCGTCACCGGCCATCGTTTGGTCCACCGCCATGGTCCACACCACCGTGAGGAAAAGCACAGCTATGACCCCGAGGTTCGTTAGGTTGTTGCGCATAGCCTCTCTCATGTTAACTCCATTGGAGCGCTGCTCAATCATGCTCCAGCCGGTTTGGGGTGCGAGGGCCATGCACGCCAGCTGCTGCAAGATACAAAACAAGCCCACTGGTACCCATACCTCATACACATTTTGCTCAACCACCTCCTCCGTCTGGCGACCCCGATGCTTGAACACAGCCAGGATTGAAGGGACCAACATCGACATCAAGCCAAATCCAAACGCAACCATCCAATTTCCAGCAAGCATTTGGGGAACGGCATCGACCTTGTCAAACCGATCCCTTGCAAGCTGTGTGGACATTTCATTTCGGAGTACACCGGGGATGTTGTCTTTGAGGTCCTCCCAGCAGTCGACGAGAGAGGCATAGTCAGTGCACCAGTCCTCTTTCAGCTTCTCCATGACCACCTCCTTTCCACCGGGAAAGGCGCGCAACGTCTTCTCTAGCCACGTCTCGAGGGATTGGACTTCCTGGACCTCGACTGGGACCGGTTGTTGGCCTTCCCGGCCTTTGTCTTGCTCTGGTTCTTGCTCCATGGTGCTCAGTTCCGCCGACACTTTGGTGGATGGCATTGCTGGCTTCTTGGGCAAATCGGCTGCAGGACGACACGTTGCTCTTCCGACAAATAACGACGGGGACTCAAGCCTGGCCTGGGCGCCGTTGAAGTCCATCGGCTCCACATCCTCGCCCAGCGGCCGAAGCTGTTCCTCGCGCGCTTAGGAAACGAAGGCGACCCTCCCTAGTCGTTTCTTAGCACATGGCCTCCAAGCCCTCCAGCACAAGGAGGGCCCCTACAGGAGTCCCAGCATCCACGGCCATGGCGCAGCCGGGAGGCAGAGCTTCTTTGGCTCAAGGCAAAGTCTTGTTGTTAACTCATCGCGCTGGGATGGAGTTGGCTCGCGGCTCTCAGCCATGGTGGGTTGGGGATTGAAATCATTTGACTTCAGCCCGGCTTCTTGGAGTTGTTGTTCGTGTGGTCTGCAGCCTGGGCTTTGTGCTTTCATTGCCTGCCGCCTGGGGCCAGACGTGGCAACGCAGTTTCACACTGCCACGGCCACTTGTTGCATGGCAGCTCCACGAACTCTACTCACCCTCCACGACGACCTGTGGAGACGCAGCGACGCAGCTGACCCGTTACCTCAGATTCGCCTCATCTCCAGACGACCTTCCGAGATTTCGTGGCCGACCGCTCCTCGGCTTCTAGGGCGCATGTGCAAGAGACCAAAGCAATCAGAGATACGAACGCGAGCATCATGACATGCACGGGCACGTGCACCTCTACATGTATGTATGCATGCATGCATGCATGGATGTATGTATGTATGTATGCATGTATGTGTACATACATGTATATATAATCTAGATCGTATCTATGTCGTATGTATGTTCATGTGTATGTGTATACGTATGTACGCACATACATACATACATACATACATACATACATACATACGCACATACATACATACATACATACATACATACATACAGACATACGCACATACATACATACATACATACATACATACATACATACATACATACATACGCACATACATACATACGCACATACGCACATACATACATACATACATACATACATACATACATACATACATACATACATACATACATGTGTATACTTTTATGTGCGAAAATGTGCGAACCTGTACCGTGAAGGAAGGATGTTTAGGTTTATGCTGGACATGCTCCAGGAGGTGTGTGTTGAGGACCGGACGCTGCGGGTGACTCGAACCACAGGCGACTCGGCCCGGGGAGGTGCCTGCAGGAGAATAGCCCTGCTGTCCCACACGTTAGGGCGTTTTTGGTGCCGCGACGCTGCGCTCCGTGCCTTCTCCGGTGATGGTGCACGGGCCCTGGCCGCACGTGACTCGGGCGAAGAGTCGAGAGAAGAGACCTTTCATCCTGCGGCATGGGCACGAGCCCTCATTGAGGCGCCTCCCGGCATCCGCTCGCTGCCGAACACCGGACCTCCTGTACCACAGCGCCAGTGAAACGCTGGGAAGTCAGTGAAACCGGCATGCACAAACAACGCCCTTGAGGGTCCTCGAAATACGCACGCGGGGAGAAGACTCCGCACCTGCCGAGAACAGACTGCAAAGGCCTGTGGAGACCGTGGAGAGCCCGGCCTTGCGAGGAGCAGGGGCTCTGACTCATCGGATTTGCTGGGGAGGCCTCGCTGCTTGAGCCTGCCAGTTTTCGCTTGGACTCTTGACCTCAACATCCGGCAGCCGGACCTGATTCCTGCTCCTCCAGCTCCTCCAACACCTCCGCGGAGGGCATAACACGAGGAGTCTTGAGGAATGCAACGAGAAGGAGCCTCCTGCATCTCCTGCGCCGGCGTCGCGCAGGCATCCGGCGTGTCCGCCACAGACGCATTGTGGCCTCAGGCGGGGCACAGCGCTGCAATCTGCTGCTAATGTGGTATCATGGTGCATGGACTGCATGGGGGATCAGCGAGTGGAAATGCCAAGCCTGAACCCCCTCGTGCCTCAGCGCAATCCAACTTGCCCGTGCTGAGGGCCGTTCTGGTAGCGACGGAAGTCGCGCCGGTCGCTATCCTGCATGAGTCTTGCAACGTCTCACAACTGAACCGAAGAATCAGCACCAGCAGCGGCGACTTGTTGTCCTTGGCCCGAAGAGGCTCAGGGGCGACGGAGGCAAAGGGAAGTCACCTTCCCGACCCATTGGCGTCCGAGCTGAGCGGATCCAGGAATGCTCGTTTTCGATTGCTGAGAGCTAGGCCTAGGACCTAGGATTCTTGGATGTTGTAAGACGTATTCTGCATTCTACAAACTCACCTGGCACGCCATGTTTGTTCCCAGGTTCTCCTGGAAAAAACATCACCCACTCATGAAAGCTTTGGCGGCTGCCTGAGTAGAAGCGCGGAACCGACGTCACGAAAGGCCTGCAGGACAACCAGGATCAACATAGGTGCGGAGAGCCAAGACCAAGGAGCTTGCCACTCACGCTGACTTCGGCTGCAATTGAATCGCGAGAAGTGGTCAAACAACACTCTCAACGTACGATCCATATCTGCAAAGACACAAGAACTGCTGAATGTGCATGTGTCACCCGCTCTTCCGTGCTAGATCTCTGAGAACGGCTCAACATTGGAGGTGCTGAAATCCTTATAACTTTCTGAACATGGGGTGCGCACGCCATCGCGATCGTCTCTCCACCTGGCTGGATGGATTTGCCGCTAGCAGTAGGCACGTCTGCAATTAACTTAAGTGACCTCACCTCTACTTTCGACTTCAAGCCCGGCACGGAAGTTCCCCCTCATCTGCACAACATCCTGGAACACGTCCGAACCGAAACTCATTTTCCAAAAGGTCTAGAAACCCATCAGAAATTGTGGCAGGAGATGTGTCAACATGACTCTGCAGCCGACGTCTTTCTGCAAAGCGGGGCCGCGCCACTTGTCCGGAAGGTCTGCGGCAGCGGAGTCGAGGACTTGGCAAGGCGCACATGGGCAGAAGCTTCGATCCCCCTACAGATCCTACAAATCTTACATGAAGGAGAAGTAGAGAGACCTGTTGGTGGAGCAGAGCACGGCCGGCAGTAGCATGCAACTAGCATGCAATGGTGCGATGACCATACTTCAGAGAGCCTAGCCCTCATTCGGATCAATGCGCACTGGATCTCAATGAGACTGCAAGCCTCTCTTTCTCTGAAGTGGTTGCTGGGATCCCAGCTCGTCGAACCACTTCTGGCCTGTGCTTGCGAGCGCATCATCCGGCGGCCATTCTGTGCGATGCCCGAGCAGCAATCTCAATTGTCCAGACTTGCTGCAGAGCAACGCGCGGCTTGGCAGCGAAAGAGAAGCGCCGCGACCTTCCGGTCTCTGGACACGAACTGTCTTCACGGCGATCCTGACAGAAAGACCAGTTTGCCTGCATGGGGGGGTGCAGCGTAGACCGATGCCCCAGCACCTTGGAAGCAGGTGCTCTGGAGTCGCCACGTTTGAGTAGCTCTTCTACGGGCGTGAAAGCCAAAAGTCCGGAGCCAAACCTCTAAACACTAAACTCTACACCCGTCCCTGCAGCTCGCATCTGAGGGCACTGCAAGGTGCCGGAGACCTGGGTGCAAAGAGCAAGAACCAGGAACTCGGACTATTTGAGATCGATGGGTCAGGGGTTGCTGGGTCAACAGATGCCTCACAGCAAAGACCTGACAGGCCCCCACCAAACGGTGTTGGTCACGGTGTGGGAGATCACTGGCGAAGGGGAACGTAGCGAGGTGGAACGAACAACCTGGCTCCACTCAATTCCCTTCGGAAGCTCCGCTACGACGGAATCAAAAAGGAAAAATCAAGACGTTCTGGAGGCTCACAGCGAAATGCCTGGCATTGGCCACCCACCCAGCCACTATTTTGAAGGGCTTGCCGATCATTCGCCTTACTTTAACGAACTTGCGGGTTCTGGCGATTCACCTTCAATTTAATTACATTTCGTTTAGATTCAAAGAGCGCTGTTTGTATTCAAGCGACATCTACCACTGCCTCATGTAGTTTTGGGCCTTCCAACTAACTCGAGCTTTCGGCGGAAGGCGAGAAGTAGAAATGTAGCGAAAGCCACCTCCACAACCCTGCACGATGCTATCACACAGGAATTCCATGGCGCTTCGGGGCCACAAACCGTCAAACCCCAAACCCGCTCCAGCCACCGTGGTGCGCGGTGGGCCGCGGAGCACGGGACCCGCAGTGACCTGACGGTGCAGGTGCAGTTCAAGGCACGCCCCGACAAGGAACCAAGACGAAATGCTCTCACCCAGGGCAGTTTTCCAGAAGCCTGCACATCAAATTGGGTTGGCGTAAACAAACCTTCGTGCATCAGTCGTTGCATGAAGCCTCTTCTAGTAAAAAGGTGCGATCGAAATGCAAAGACTGCAACTTTTAAAGCTAAAAGTCACAAGCACTTGTCATCTCGGTCCGATGTGCAAAGCGCATAACCGCAGGGGTTGAATGATTTGCGGGCAGGCAAATTCTGGATGTAGTGCATTGCTAAGTTGCAAGGTATGACATCTGATGTTTCAGCCACCATGCGCTGGCACAGAGTCTAGACGATTGGCGCATGATTGATTTCCAACCAATATGTTTCACGCATGCCCGCAGCCTACAGGGGGTCCGGAACTTCTGAAGAAGGCAGTGACAGGCCGAAGACGACATGGCAGAAACGTTCAGTAGGAAATTCCACATGGCTCTGAGCATGATCCAACCTGCATTCCGAAAGAGTAAAGCATAGATCTCTGAGCTCCTGGGGACCCAGATGCATCCTTCAGACAAGTACATGTCTCGTAGCGGTCGTAGTGGTACTGACACCAGACTCATGCCAGGAATTGAACATTTGATGCCCTCCCAGTGAAGAAGAGGTCTAGCCCTACGCATCTTCCGAACTGTCCCCAGTCCGCATCACGGAGAGTGGCCGGCCGGGCCTTCACGCTTGTGATCTCCCGATCTTTTGCGGCCAACCTGCAACAGGGCACCGAAAAAGGCGCCGGACAGGAACATCGCGTGCCGCAAGCCTTGCGTACGGCCGACTGGAGGCAGGAAGCGAGGCCAGCAGCTCCTGCCGGCAAAATTCGCGGGTTGTTCGGCAATGCTGCCCTTGATCAACCGTTAGCTCTAAACCCTGAACCAAATCCCACAAGACCCCCCTTGCCCGGTTAGGCGTATGGCACTAGACTAGTGGTAAGCATTATTCCTAGGATGGTAATTAAGGTCGGGATCTTGGGATGGATTATCCTAGTATTGGGTTGAGACCTTACGATAGATTTTTATCCTAGGGTGGGGGCTGGGTGGTGCCATCCACCTAAATAGGCAAGGTATCCTCTACCCCCGATCATGGCAGAATATCAAGACGGCCGCCGACCAAGCAGTCGATCCAGATGGTGTACCACAGGTTTGAACAGCAAAGATATCTGACTGGCGGTAAATGCAGTCTTGTGAGTGTTGTCTGGGTTGGCCGCTTGAGTAGGTTGTAGTTGTGGGCAAGACTGCACGTGTTCCGAGAGCCTCCACAACTCAGCTGGCTGGAGCTTGAGGCCGCTAAGCTCAAGTTCGGAGTCCGATGGCATCTGGAACCGAGTGTAGATCCCAATCTGCGACGGTGCATGAGGTTGGCAAGGAGGTGCCCAATTACGGCGCAATGCCGACTAAATCCGAGCTCCTAGCGTTCATCCAAGCTTGAATTGCTTGTGGCACGTGTGGTGCACAAGACTTCTCAAAGTTGGCAAACCCTCAGATGGTGCGCTGCGCTGCGCTGCGGTACGGTCCGGTGCGGTGCGGTCCGGTACGGTGCGCTGCGGTGTCCGGTGCGCGGTGCGGTGGAGGGTCGGAGACCAGAGGCAAGAAACCTTCAGGAGATTTCAGCAGGAGACACGCGGTTTTTGCAGATATGTCTCTAATTACAACACCAGGCCCAACTCAAGGTCAGTTAGGCGATGATGCATGCGACACGGTCATAGCGCCAGCTCCACCAACGCTCAGTGCGCGGTGGCCCGAATCAATCGGCACTGGATCCCACCTCCTCACTGAGAGGATCGATGACCTTCGCCCCGGGACGGACGAGGCGCCACGCGCCTGCGCACATGGCATCGGCGCTGTGGCGCTGTGCATGTAAGCGCAAATTCACTCTCTGTGAGCGTCCAGAATTCCCAATAGATCGGCTCCTCCCGGCTTGGCGCTCTCTGCGCCGAGCCTTTCAAGCACCTGGCGGCCGAGGCATTTCGAGAAAGAGCCTCTTGGAAAAGCCCTCGGCCCGAGACTCCCCTTAGAGGCCTGGCTCCACACACGGCAGGTCTCCGCCAGACCCCCGGGTGGCGCCGGCGTCCTCGAGAGCCGCTCCTGCGGAGAACGGGCGATGCCTTTGCCTTTGGCAGTTGACGGGGAGGCTCCAGCAGCCCCAGGTGGATCCGCAGCGCATCGGCTGCCAAAAGTTCAGCCTGCTTAAGGACGAGCTAAATCTGCCGTCTATTGAGTTTGAATGACACTTTCTCTTTCTCTGCATGCCCTGTTTCTCGCTTCCCCGCTGTTCAGAAGCCCGACAACGAGCCAGGGCCTGCAGCTGCGGATGGGTGGAGACGCCGTCCAGCCTTGCGCACGCAAGATGCAAAAACCGCGGCAAGGCCCGACAAGATGAACTGCACAGACGCACGCTCTGTGCACGTCCAGAGACCCCCTGAAAAAAACCGACCAGGCGCCTCAGGAGCTCCGCGCGTGTCCGCACGACGGCGCTGAGCAGCAGCGCCAGGTCCAGCAGCTCCTCCCAGCGACTCGAGGCTTCGCTTCGCTGAAAGCATTGCCAGGACACAGGGCGCAGAGATTTTACTCGACTGCGTCCTCACGGTGCGTGGGCTGTGGATACATTGCTGCCTGGAGTCAGCACATCTCCGCAGGAATAGACTTTTCTACTGAAAAGAATGCGCCTCCTCCAGCCATGTGACGAGGCCCTTCATGATGGCCAGGCCTGCGGGCCAAGTCTCTTCTCCGTGTTTGGAGATGCGCGAATCTGCCAGTCCCTCAGCCTTGGGTGGCGTGGGCCATGTCGGCGTCCGTGTCTGAGTCCGAGTCTGATTCCAGGCCGCCTCAGAGAAGCAGAGAGAAGGCAAAGACGCATCTTTCTCCAAAGCCCACTCTCGGGCTCCGTCTGGGTGCCAGGGCACCTTAGAGACTGCAAAGACTTCTCCACGGCACGCTGCAGGCTTCGAGTGCCTCCCGGGAGCCTGGCCGAGTGCCTTGATCAGCACCACCAGCAAGGAAGAGAGAGAAAACAAACTTCGCCTCACTGCACTGCGCTTCTCAGCGAAGCCGGTGTCCCCAACCCTGGCTGGGCCCTCCCCCCCGCTCTCTCTACCCACGCCATCCCACGCCTCAGAAGCGCTCGCCTCTCCCTGGTGGCATCTTTGGCGCGGAGCTCCGCGCGGCCCCAGGGGAAGCGAACCCGGACCATACCCCGGTCGTCCTGACAAGTAGCAAAGCCCCACCAAGGCACTACAAAATACCAGCCCTACTGACATGTTGCCGAACGACCCACAGCTTGTGCGCCTCGCTTTCGAGGACACCGACACCTCGAAAAGTCAGCAAGAGAGAGAGGCAGGCAGGCAGGCAGGTAGGCAGGCATAGGCAGGCAGAGATTGTTGAACAGGATAGGTACATAAGCCTGGTGAACTCAGGTAGAGTGCCTACAGCGACCTATGTTCATGCATATGTTAATGACAGGGTTTCCAGAGCCGGCCGCAGCCGGAAAGCCTACTTGTGGGCTTTTTTCTCACAAAAGCAGCCAGGGCCGAGGGTATATACCATGTTGAAACACATACCTAGATGGGGCCCCGGCCATAGGGAGTCAATGTGGACCCCGGAACCTGCATGCAACACAAGCGAGGTTCGGATAGTAGTCCCGACAGGGACCAGGATTGCTTCATGAGACCAGATGTGCACTTGTGCAGAAACGGCGAAGTCCCCTTATTGCTCTTTGGCGGAGGTGGAATGTGCCGATGCGCCCGGGCCTCGCTCGTAAGGCGATTCAGCACTTCCGGTCCCAGGCCTGGCGAAAGGAGGATTCTCTTCGAACTGCCAAAGCCTTCAGTACCTATAAGACTGTAAGAATGTGATATAGTGATATAGTAACAACTACAATAACTACAACATATACTGAGCCGACCATGGGGGGGTTTGTCTTGGGCCAGCTGCCCGAGACCGGCGGCCTGGGCCTTGCCGTGCACCGGACGGCTCGAGCCTCTGCGAAACTTTAAGGGAACCTACTAGGGTTTAGGGTCTTAGGGTCTAGGGGTTCAGGGTTTAGGGGTTTAGGGTTTAGGGCTTTAGGGTTTAAGGGTTCAGGGTTTAGGGGTTTAGGGTTTAGGGTTTAGGGTTCAGGGTTCAGGGTTTAGGGTTTAGGGACATGCCTTGACCCCAGCCGTTCAGGTGAGAAGCAGAAGGCTTCAGGGTTGGGCTGTGTTAGGGCATGTGTTAGGCTGTTTGAGTGCCGGGGCACATGACATCGCCTCACGTTCTGGCATGCATGACTCGAGCTGACCAGAAATTCGGGACCGCAGCAGCAGGCTCGAGCTCCCACTCCCCGCAATCACCGAGATGGGAGCTGGAAACGAGCCCAGGCCCGTTTCGGATCTCAGATGGGCGAAGTCTCTCGCAGTCGGTCACAAACATGAGTCTCGCTGGATCCGCCGCTTTCTCTCTTGTCGGCTTCACGAGCGCCTGCTTTGAGGGCCCGACTCGGGCGCTCCCTAGGCCTGCAGAGCCGCAAGCACAAAAGTGGCGCCTCTCCCATGCACACCCCTCAGGCGCCGCACAGGGCATGCGGGGCTGCAGATTCCAGCACTGCCTCAAGCAAAGCTCTTCAGAGAGCGACCACAACTGAAAGCGAGACCAGTCTCTTCGAGTGCCACACGGTGAGCTTGCGGCTCTGCGCATGGTCGCCGCCGTACCTGAGCTCAATGGACCCCGAAGAGTCACACAGAGTTACAACCCCATTCTGGAAGCTAAGTCTTGCCCCCATTCTTTCTGGGTGAGACCAAGCTCAAGCGCCCGACTTCTCGAAGATTCGTTGCAAAGCCGCGCGGGAGTGCACCGATGTGCCTGATAGGTGAGAAGACTGAAGTGACAGTCCTGGTCTTGACCACACGACAGCCGCATTCATAGTTCCCTTTCAGCTGCCCCGTGACTTTTCTTGGCCTAGCTTTGCTTCACTGACTTGCAACATTGTTGAATAATATATTGCATACTCTGAATCTTTCTTGCTTGGAGCCATCTCTCTTTTACCTACAAAGCGGTCTGCTTGCCTTACGTGAACATCTGCTTGTCGTAGATGTGTTATGGCCAAGTTTGAGAAAGCCACCAGCTTCGGCTACGGCGGGCCTGTGGACTGGTCGGCCGCAGAGGCCTTGCTTGCGACCTTACAGATGCAGGCTCGACCGGCCCCTGAGTCGAATTTCCCAACAAAGGATCCCTACACTGCGCTGGAGCCGTAAGCTCTCGTGATTCCAAGGCACCCGTGGGCTTGGCGGTGGGGCGGCAGCACCCTCCGACCTTCGGGCCCAGAGCAAACAGCAGCCACGATTTTGAGTCTGCAAGGCTGAGGACTGAACTCGGCTGCCATGTGCTGATAAAAGGCGGTCAGGGTCGGTCTGGTTGGGGGGAGGGTCTTGTGAGAGGGTGTGCTCGAAGTGGGGTACAGCTTTGGCATGGAGCGGAGATGTCATGGCGAGCGCGAGCATCTATCAACCCGACTCTGGGTGCCAACTACCGCGGTCTTAACAATTGCTGGACGCATGAATGCAGAACCACATGATGCCTGCTGTGGAGCCACGAGCTCAGTGCTGGCCGTGACATTGGATAGAGAGTTCTCTCACAGGTTGCAGCAGTGCTCGCGGGGGGCCGCACATCGTCGGCATCATATGGCAACCCAGACAGGTGCAATTCGATGACCTGTCTCAGTGTCGGGACTCAACAGGATTGCAACCTGCACAGCAAGATCTGAAAGCTCCAAACCCATCCTCTCTTGACGCTCGCTGCAGCGGAGATTAGATGCAGCACTTCCAAGCCAATTCCAGGCCTCCCAGTCCTTAATGTTGGTCGCAACCTTGTAAAACTCCTCGGACTGGATGCTGGCCCGGAGGTGTGCCTTGTCGCCAGGTCCAATCCGGATCCCTACACACAAGCCGATGCCTCTCACAGACGAGCCTATGCCTATGCCTATGCTCATGCTGGAATCTGCTTCTGCGCCTGCTGCAGCTCCTGCGGCTTCATGCCATCCTTGTACTTGATCTTCTCTGAGTTATCGTGCGTGACCTCGGGGCAAAGATCGGTTGCAGGGCCTGAGGCGCCGGCGCTTCAGCGGCTTCAGCGCCCGCTGGGCTCTGGGCTGCCTCGAGCTTGCCGGAGCCTTGCCAGCTCCGGGCGTCCGCTTCGCCAAAGATCCTCGCCTCGTCACATGGAAGCCAAGAGCTGCTCACAGCTTTCGCGTAAGATGTGCTTTGCGTTTTTACCTGGCCCTGGTGCTCAAAGCGCCCTGCTCAAAGCCATGACATGATGAGATTCCTCTACGACATCCCTCCCGTAAAAGAGAGAGGAAAGTGCCTTAAAACCCCGTCCTGGTGGAGCTCCTCGGACTTTCGCACGTTCGGCGTCGCCTCGCCGCCGAACTTTCGGGCTCCCGGCAGCAGCTCCGTGCGGCAATCGCTCCAGTCCTCAAGCTACGACCCGAGGCCAATCTGGGCCGCGAGCTTCTGGAAGCTTGTGGGTATCTCTGCCCCTGCCCCTCTGGGGTCAATGAAACCCGCACGGACGCGTCCTGATGGACGATGAGGTGATCTTCGTGCCCCGTTCGACTCTTTGGCCGAGATCTGGCGCTGAGGAGAACCTTCGTCGAACCCAGCACGTCGCGAATCACGAACCCTGACTGCATCGCATGCCAAGCCTCTGCGTCTTCGTAGGCTGCTGATCGTCCGAACAGATCACTGCACAGGGGGCGGTCTGCTCCCATTGTCTCTCAGTGGCCTGAACGTGGCCATGCCGCGCGCCTGTAGTAGACGTTGGCCCTGCGTTTCATGTCGCTCTCCTGCTCCTGGCATGTCAAAACGCAAAATGTGCTTCATAACGGACTCAGACCGTCGACTGTTCCAAGATGAAATCAGACTGTCTTGACAAGGACGTGCATGCAATGTGTCAGTGGAAGACACGTGTCTGGCGCGACAGCCTGCAAGAAAGCCCGCTCTTTGTCGCGAGTTGGTGCAAGCAGAATTTGCACACCTAACATCGAAGCGCATACCCGAAGGTCTAACATGAATTATTGAGCCGGTGTCACTCGACAGCGCTCACAAAATAACTTGCATATTACAGAGAGAGCCTGGAACCTGCGACGGTGCATCGTTGCAGAGTAGGCCTTCGCGGCATCCGGTTCTCCACCCTCTGAATTCGGCTCTACAGGAAAATATGCAACACTCACCTAGTCAGTGTGCATCTTATGGCACTCATACGTGTGAGGGCACCAAAGTGCACCAGGGATTTGGGGCGCTTTGCCGAAAAAACCCTGCAAAAGGCCAGCGAATAGTTCTGCCTGGCTTAGAAACTGCAGATTGCGCATGTCACCAGGCCGTATACAACACCGACCGGGGTCGAAGCAGGATGGCACGGCAGGACTCAAAGCAAAAGGGACCCAGACTTACAGAGATCTGCGAGTTTGTCAGGGCATCTCAGGCCTTCCTTTTCTGAATCCTCCCACACTTCGATCTAAGGACATTCGAAGTGTCCCAGGTGAGTTCTCTGCCGGTGCCAGTGCGCCACCCGTGCCATACGGAGGCGGCCAGACCACGGTCTGTCACTCCACACTGTGAAGGAGCGAGACGGCAGTCTGGCCAATTAATTAACTTCGGATAACTCAAACAAGCACTGTAGGCTGTAGGCCTGTACAATACCTCACAATAGATTCCTCTCCGCAGCCTTGATGTCCATCACCTCATCCCCCCAAGCACCAAGCAGTGCTGTGTACGATCACGGAACTGCCATCGAGCGCCGTGCTGTACTCCGGCTTTCGAAGCTGAGCTGTCAATGCTGTGAAAGTGCTACTTCCGATCTCCAAGGCCGCAGCCCAAGTCCAGAGCCAGCAGGTCTTTGCCGATTGAGGCACCCGTCGGCACATGGCATAGGTGGAGAGCCTGCATATGCCCAGTCACAAAGCCAAGCCCGTCGCAGTGCCGAGAAGCCCCTTCACAACCTATTCTCCTTCACCGACACATCCGGATACGAGGTCTGAGAATGAGAGTAGTACAACAGTCGTTCGGAGAGACAAATAAACTGACCAAGCTACTGCAGGGGTGAGGGCTCATGCACTGGGCATGACATTCAGCTAGAATTGGGCTCAATGGCTCATGGCTTGGCTTGAAGTGCTAGAGCCCTCATCCCTCTTTAGCTTGGACTTTCAAGCCAAGGAACGGGTAGAGGATCCAGGGAACAACTATGAGCCACACCAGAAGGTCCTTCACCTGAGCACGAGGTGTTGAGGGCGGAGTCAGGAAAGACCGGGCAAGAGCAGCAGTAGCGTCTCGGATCTCGAAGATACTGACCAGTGCTGTGGACCGCGAGGCAGCGCTAGACTCTGGTGCACTGCCCAACCATCGACAAATCCGAACCCATGCAACCAGATGCAAGCCGCATGCACGAGTGTGCCGCTTTGCTTTGTTGTTTTTCTGATCACATCTGTGCAACCATCAGTGGATGCAAGAATGCCCCACAACCCCCCCCCCCCCCCCCCGCCACCTCGAAAGTGAGGATGTATGTCATGTAGCCGACGCCGCAAAGGAAAACTATCCACGTCCTTGGCGGCCGTTTCGGAGCCTCTCTCTCTTCTCGTCGGCCGATCCGGTGAGCAAAACCGACACCGCCGAGACTCCTCTTAAAGACGTACCACAGCGACAGGTTCTGCTCTACCTCGCGCTCGACTGCATCCTCCCAGGCCAAGTTGAGGAATCAAAAGGCCAGGTTGCTGCGATGCTCTGCGACGCAGGGTGCCTGTGGCTTCCAGTTCGCTGAGCCCGAGGACTGCGCCCAGACGGCGCGGCCGACGCGCAGCACGCCCAAGATGAGCTCGGGAGAGTACAAGAGGATGGACAACACGATCCTCGGAGGTCCGCGAATATCTAAGCTGCTGGGGCGTCCCTGCCACCAACCCTCTCGAAGCTGACTGGCGACTCAATCACCGAAAGTGCCAGCTGCCGTGAGAGAACAGAGCAGCGACTCAGCTGAAAGCGCCCCTGCACCGAGCACAGACTTAAGTCTTAGCTGACATCTTATAGACTGATAGACCGTCTAGAGAAGTTGTTTGGGTGTAAGTACGACTCTCTCTCTTTCTTGTTTGTCGATGCATACAGAAACTGCGACTCTAAGCTAGTGCTGACCTAGGCTTGGATCTGCCTTGCCTAGGGTCAAGGCCAATGTAGGGGTAGACCTTGGTAGGCTTGGGGGTAGGCTAGTGCTGTTACTAGTAGTAGTAGTAGTCGTCGTCGTCGTCGTCGTCGTCGTCGTCGTCGTGGTCGTAGTCGTAGTGGTAGTGGTAGTGGTAGAGGTAGTGGCAGCGTCGTCGTCGTCGTCGTCGTCGTCGTCGTCGTCGTCGTAGTAGTAGTAGTAGTAGTAGTAGTAGTAGTAGTAGCAGCACCACCACCACAGTAGTAGTAGTAGTAGTAGTAGTAGCAGCAGCAGGAGTAGTAGTAGTAGTAGTAGTAGTAGTAGTAGTAGTAGTGGTGGTAGTGGTAGTAGTGGTAGTGGTAGTAGTGGTAGTGTTAGTAGTGGCAATGGTAGTAGCAGTAGTAGTAGTAGTAGTAGTAGTAGTAGTGGTGGTGGTAGTGGTAGTAGTGGTAGTGGTAGTAGTGGTAGTGGTAGTAGTGGTAATGGTAGTAGCAGAAGTAGCAGTAGTAGCAGAAGTAGTAGTAGTAGTAGTAGTAGTAGCAGTAGTAGTGGTAAGTGGTAAGTGGTAAGTGGTAGTTGTAGTGGTAGTGGTAGCGGCAGCGGCAGTGGTAGTGGCAGTAGCCTACACCTGTCGATGGCCTTCTTGTAGCTGGAATTGCTGGAGTCGCTGTCACTGGCATCTGTGCCTAAGTGACTCCGAGGCATTTCGAGGTGCCTCTTTTTGGAGAGCCACGTTCGAGCCGAGGCTCTTCCGATGGATAAGAACTGCGATGAGACCTCCCTCTCGTCCACATCTCCGAACTTGCCATCTCCGATCTTGGAGGCCTTCCTGGTCCGGAGCTTGGCATTAGGACCGTTAGGACTCCCTACAAGGGACCCTTGCCACTTCGAAGAGCCAGGCTCCTCGAAAGCAGGCAGTAGCGTCCCAGGCGAAGAGACGGCAACTTGTCCAAGATGAGGAAGCCCTGCTTTGAAATGGAATGGGGGCAAAAATGCGTCATCTGGGAATCTGGGCATTCTACCCGGCACATCCTATCTCCCAGCTTTTGACCCTCTCGGCTCCTTGGGGATGATGAAAAGTGCCAGCACCGTGAAGAGCAGTGCCGAAAACCCAAGCAGCGGCAGAATGTTCAGCTGGAGCCTGAAGGCTACCGGGTCGAAGTGTGGAGCGATTCGGCGTGCGGTCTCTACACCTCG